CGCAAATGGCTACCATATTGAAAAATATACTATTTTTGTATGATAATTATGGGTTTTGTATTTTATTTTAATAGAAGTTGATGTTGCTTTTGCAATTATCCATCAATTTTTTAAAATTAAACACTATCTACAGATTTGCATCGAAGCGTTTCTTATGATAGTGATTTTAATCACTGTCAGATTAAATCTATACTGGACCCTACTATGCAATGTCTCTACTATGCCGCGACCCAACTGTGCTACCGTTTTTTATTACTTATCTGTACGCTTATTCATTTAATTTAATTACAATAGAAAATTTTTTTGTAACCATGCAATTTTTTTATGTTTAAAAATATATTTTATGTAACAATTATATATTTAGTATATTTTTGTGTTGCCTTTTTCTTAATATAACAATTTTATGAAATACTTTATTACGTTAAAAGTCACCTAGAGCATAAATAAAAGAAATCGAAGTGTTTCTATAATTAAAAGATGTATTTTATGCCATAATATAGGTTTTATAAAAAATATGTGATCAAATAAAAAAAAAAAATGCTATTTATCAATTTGATTTTACATTTGTTGAATACAATTTATTTCAGCTATTCTAGAATGTGTAGAAAAATTGAGATTCTAACAAATTTTCCAATAATGATTATGTTTAATTATTTACTAAATAATTTTAAAAAAAAGTATATGTATTACATAGATTTTATTTTTTTTATTAATAAATTCTTATTGTAGACTTAATTATTTCGACTAACTCTGCATTAATAGATTTTTTTGAATTAATCATGTTCAAAGGATAATTAAGCATTGCTTTAGTACATTCAGCAATGCACATATTCCTGAATTTTGAATTCAATTTATCATTATGTTCCATTAAAATTAGATGTCCATTAGCTAATAAACTAAACCAATGAACTAAATGACTATACATATCGGGAGTAATATTTATTTCTGTAAATAATGTAATTTATACTTATTAATCATAAATTTCTCAATTAATAACATTTATTTCTTACTATATTTTTTTTCGTCGGAACTAAGATTTAGTGTCATAATTATTAACTGTGGGTTTTGATCATAAGCAAATGGTAATATTACATAGTGCATCAATGCAATCAACTCCATTTCATTCATATTTTCCTAAGAAAATTCATTTAATTTATCGAGTGCTATCTTCATTACATATTAATCCTTACTTTTGGCCAAGCGATTTTGATTTGACTTTTATTTATATATGAATTAGAATTATCAAAATTTAAAGCCTTGTGAATAATTATAGGGAATATAGTTTTATTTTTGTGATCTATTCCTTCTAACTGATTGCCATTCCATTCTACGATCATAATTCTACAATTAATTTAAAACAAAATAGTTAATTAGCTAAAATAAAATAAAAATTAAAAGTATTATAATCTGATACCTCTTGATATTACAAATTTTATGAGCATATATCGCTCCTATTGAAGTAATATGATACATAATATTTGAATTAATTTTTTTGTATAAGCTTGCACTACCAAATATTGGAATGTATATTGCTGATTTTACTTCATTTCTATGCAATAAGTTTATAATCTAAAAATGCATAATTCATTGTATTATTGATCTATAAATTCGCTAGGTTATGGAACATTTACTCGTAAAAGACATCTTATTGTATAAAAATCATTTTCCAATATTTTAAGGTCGTTTTCTGATAATTTATTGCTTGTATTTGGCTCGAAAATCCTAGAAAAGTATTTCTTAACAAAAAATTGTTCTTCCGAATGAGCTTCTTTTGTCTATAAACCATATGTATACTTTTTAGCTTTGATGCGCATTTGAGAAGATATTGGTTTTACACTGCTGTGATTTTTTAATATCAGTAGACCAAATTGTTTAACTTCTATCGAATAAATTTTGTTCAACAATACGTTAAGAGAACACAAATCGTTTCTAGTTAAAGTTAAAAGTGTCATAGTTTTAAAAAATTAATCTCCACAATATAGAAATTTTTCCCCAAAAATTTACAATTGTTATAAAACATTCAATACTGATATTTTTACAGCAAATTTTATATTGTAATACCATTAAAAAATTGTAGTGAAATTTTATTGACAATACTTTTTTTAAGAAAAATTTAGATCTAAGAACAGAAAAACGTTTAATTAAAACATATGTATGGAGTATAGCATTATCTGGCAGTGAAACAAGGACGTTGAACAAAAAAAATGAAACCATTCTAGAAGCTTTAAAAATGTGATGAAAACTAGAGAAATTGACAGAAATTAAGTAATTTAAGATAAAGATGATAAGTCATATGCTAAGACACAACGAAGAACTCCATAACATTATACTGAAAGGTATGATAGAAGGGAAACGTGGAAGAGGCTGACCAAGAACGTGTTTTATAAGTTAAGTAATCAAAGATGCGAAAATCGATTTGTACTACTGACTTAAGAATAAAGTGCAAGACCAGGATTATGTAGAGAACATTTATTGTAGACCAATCTACAGATTGAATACTAAAAAAAACAGTACACATAATACATTGTGATACTTTCAACATTTTATTATAAAAGTGTTAACAATTGTATACTTTATTATATAGTAAAATCTCCTTTCAACGGGCCACCTATAAGACGGAAACCTCCTTCTTAATCGGAAAAATTTTAATGGTTCCAGTTTCTTTTATAAATCAGAATTAACCTCTAATCAACAGAAAAAGGTATAAAAAAATGGTAAAAGTCCCTTGGTAAGGTATTTAGTGGTTAGTAAACATATTAATATGAAAAAAATGTACATGTTTTAAACATAGGTAATAGTTATACTTCCGATGACTATTCGATATAAGTAATAATAAAATTAATGTAAATAACTGAAATTTTATTTTGTCGTATATTACGATACACTAATAAAAATAAATATCGCAAATGTGTTAATGATATTGATATCGTATAGAAATATCTATATCGTTGATGATACCTACTACATTTAACATCACTAGTAATGCTATTAATGCTAGAACTCGGAAAGCGAAAGGCAGTCAAAATCTGGTTATTATAAAATAATAATTTTGCCTCTAATTAAATGTGAATTAAATTTTTTTTTTTTTATGTTGGGTTAGATTAAAAAATTACTAATGATTATTCAATAATTTAATATTTTTGTTAGTAAATAACAAACTATAAAAAAAAAAAATACATGACTTATATATACTTTTTTTGAAAAATTAAAATTTGCGCGAAAATAAGAGTTGTTACGTTTTAAACGTGCTAAAAAATGTTAAAATTTACATTGGTCTTATGGGACATTTTAAATGTTTATAATGTTTATTTATGTTTTAATCAATTTTTTTCGTTCTAAAACATGTTTTATAACAACCTTGGTGAAAATACATCAAAAACTACAAATGTTTACATTTTTTTAACCTTTGAACTTAAAGTGCGCCCTGTTAATCATATAATATGAAGCTCAAATTTTGTTGATATTATTTTTAAAAAATTTCAGAAGCCTTCTAAAATTTTGAAAAAAAGACAACATTTATATGTAAAGAATGGTCATCATAATGTACCTAGATTTATACATTATTTTTACCTCTATAATTTGTATGTTTGGAAATTTAGCCATTATGTGTTGGTACATATTATTTTTTATTGTTGCTGCCGTAGAATTATGCATGTATTGGATAGATAATCCCAATCGTATTGTCGGATTTGTAAGTTCAGTCTCTAAAAAAACGTATTATTATGTGAAAATAAATATTATTTTATATTAAATAAATAGATTTTAAGAATAAGGAAATGGTACAACTAGCAGAAAAGTTGTTAAATGAACCCCGTTTTTTGGGTCAATTTGCGCCTCTGAAATATTTTCTTTTAATCATATAATCTTACCAGTAATAATTTTTGTCAAAGTAGTATCAAAAATATCGTTAACATTTTGTGGGTACATATTTCTTGTTGGAAATATTGTTGGTTTATCTTTATTATTATATGTATAAAGCCAATTAGGCTTAAAATTGTTTGCCAGTGGGATTTTTTCAAGACATTTCCAATAATTTTTATGAGCATACATTACATTATGGATGGACTTCATAACACTACATTATTAGATGACAACATTTATTAAATTTATTATTTTACTTATAAAATTTACCATTCACTTGGATTTTTTTCGAATGCTAGCATAGGATTAGGGTCTTTTAATAATGCTCTTAATGTTAGAGCTGCACTTTCAGCTAAACTTTTATTGAAATAACCTCCCTAAAATTGCAAAAAGATTAAACAGAACATAATAATAATTACTTAAGTAAAAAATATTTTACCTCAAGTAAACCTACAATTTTTCCTTGAGCAAGTCCCATAAGCTTGCTGATTATGTGAGCATAACATACAGGAGTTACACACATTTCTCCCTGTAGAGCGATTGAAATCAGTAAATTAAACTATAGGAATTAAAAGTAATCTAAGGCTATCATACTTTGGGATCTCCGATTGCTGAATCATAACCACATGATACTATTATTAAATCAGGAGAAAACTAAAAACAAAAATCTTATTTACTTTTGAGATGCATAAAAAAATATATTTTTTAAGATATATTATTCTTTATTTGATTACAATTGATAATACCAATAAATCAGATAAAAATGTTTGAACGGAATATGATTTTTTTTTGTTTTAATTTGTTATTAGGGTGACTTTACCAATGAGTAAACACTTAGGAGTTTTTCAACTTTTAAATTTATTTATTAATTTATATTTTGATGTTAAATTCATAGTTATAATAAATATTTATTATCTGGAATATCTTCTATAATAATAATATTTATAATTAACCAAGACAAAATATTAATTTATTAATAAATGTTGAAAATTTGAATTTTCCAGTGAATGAACAGTTATGGGTATTTGTCTTGGTGTCACATAATTAATATTTTTAAATAATTATAGAAAATATAATGTTAAATTAAAGTTATCTCGACAATCAAATAAAAATATGCAACTATGCATTCATTTAAACCGATTAAACCTGGCTATTTTGGATAGTCGAATGCAATCACGAATGCGCACATCAAGATTTATTATTAAACGTCAGCTCAGTACTCGGTTGTCATTGCCCGACTTTCAATCTTACGCCAAGAGTTAGTTTGTTCATTCTTGACGCCTTTACCTAACTTGTTTAATATTTAATTTACTCGAATACTTGTGTCTTGCACTTTGTCTGCATCTCATATTTTGCTACCTTCCTTGTTTAATTGTAGTACATGTGACTTATACTTCAATTGCACCTTATATCAATAAAAACTCATTGCAATCAAATTAGATCATTTTTTAAAATAAATTTTCAGTGGTGTTCGTTTACTATTAGTGTTTATTCATTGGTGATGTTAGGTTACATAAATTTAAAACAATTATTAAGAAATAATACATTACATTCTTAATTATTTAATTTTAAACGTATTTAAATTACTATGATATTAATGAATTAATAATTTCGTTGTAGAATTAAGTAACTAATGTTATATTATTTAGCATAATACGGTAAAATAATGTAATGTGAAAATAGATTAAGATAGTTTGGTCAAATTATGAGGAGGGAGGAATCGCAAACTGTAAAAATAGTTATGGGGATAAATGTTGAAGGAAGAAGAGATGGAGAAAAATCAAAAAAGAGATGGAGGGATACTATTGAATGCGATATGAGGACAGCTTATGTGTGCGTGATGATGTAGGAGGTCGTGTCATGTGGAAATTTAGGATAAGGGTGGCCAACTCTAAGTAGTTTAGATAATGGTGAGGAAAAAGAAGAAGATGATGACAAAACAATTTCATCATTTGTTTCAATACAAAATAAAGTAGATTATTAAAAACACCCCGAATGCACTTTAATTTCTATTAAAATATAATATTAATAATATATTTTTAAACAATTTTATAAGAGGTTTTCTTTATACTCGTTTGATTGGGTTGGTATTCTATGTACAGAAAAAATGTTTTGTCCCTCTTACCATTAAAAATCTTGGATACACTACTATATTAAACTAGTTCTACTAGATAGATGAAATGAAATATATATCTTAATAGTTTAAATAATAATTTATTATTTAATCAAATAATAAATATATCCATCACCTCGTATGCTATTGGAATAAGTAGGTAGTGAACAATTGCCATATAATCTTCATTTTGCATTCCAGTTTGGTTCAAGGGAACATTAATATTATAACCTTTGCCGCTTCTTGTACCAATATAATCACTATCACTTTCTCTTAAATTAGGCCAAAATTGTCCATACTCATAACGATGTATAGAAAAATATAAAACTCTTAAAATTATTAATTAAAAAAAAAAAATCAGTCAATACAACGATTTGTATAATAATATACAGAATAGTTGATTTATCATAAACTACTCGATTATTTGTAAAATAAACACAACAATAACGAGGAAAAACTTTTTAGTATTTTTAGTTACGTACATTTTTTGATTTATTAGCTATAAATTTCTTTTTAGAATGATTCTTTATACCTTATAAGGGTATCAATTTTAATTTATCAAATTTCAACACACATAATTTACTTATTTATTAGATAATGATCTTATTAAGAAATTGACAGATTGTAAACAACTTATGGACCAGTATTTTGAAAGTTATTATCAATTTAAAGTTATTGCGATGAAGATTGGGTGCAGCTATTTTTTACATTGGTAATTTCTCAACCGTATTTTTCTTCTCACCTACATACACATATGTCAATAACTTCTGAAATACTGATCCAAAAACTGTTATCGACCAGTCATTTTCCTAATTACATCATTATCTATTAAATAAGATAGTAAATTATGTGTGTTTGTGTTCTTAAGAAATTAAGGTTGACACTTATATAAGGTATAAGGGATGATCATAACATTTTTTTTATGATTGATACGTTGAGAAAAACATTGAAATAAATGAGACAAACAAAAAGATTATTAATGTTTTTCGATTAATTAAGTGGTCATGATAAGTGAATGACCCTGTCGGGGCATATAATTGCGCTTCTAAATGAGTAATTAATTAATTAATGATAAGTATAAAGAATATCCAAACAATAACACATAATCATATTTAGTATTATACAATTAAAGAATGCGTTACAAACACTGAAATAATTTAATTTATAATCTGGTAATAAGATTTGTATTTAAATAACATACACTAAGTTATAAGAGATGATATTAAAAAGGAATTATTAGAAGATAAATTAAGAAATATGTGTAGTTAAAAAAAAAAGAAATTTTTTTTTCAATATTGTGTTTATTTTGAGGTATTCGAGTGGTTTCTGATAAATTGATCACCATACAGGATGTTCAGTAAGTCAGGAAACGGGTTTCCTGACTTACTGAACACCCTGTATATAATGATAAATATAATTTACTATGTTTACCTGGGGTCATTATAAAACATTTGTTGTGTTGCTTGTCCGTGATGAATATCCCAGTCAACTATAAGTACTTTATTAACTGATTTTGAATCTAGAGCATGTTGAGCAGCAATTGCTGCGTTGTTAAAAAAACAATAACCACAATATTCTGACTTCATAGCATGATGACCAGGGGGTCTAATGAAAAGTGTCATATCACACTTGATAAATTATTTAAATAATTTAAATTGTTATAATTTAAAAATTTTAAACAATTAAATTTTTTTTTTTAATTTATTAATTAACTAAGTGAAATAAAAAGTTCAAAAATTATTTAAACTTTAAAATAATTAAATAAATTTTTCTCATAATTAACATTAAACTTTTTTTTATAGGTTATATTATTACCGAATAATTGCCATTCCATTTTGAATGTTTCCTTCTACTACCGATTTCGTTAAATCTATTGAGCTACCAGCTGCCATAAGAGATTGTTTGTAAGTAAACTAGCACAAAATAAGATGATTTGAATATATGTTAATATAATGATATTTACTATTGTTTGAAATTATTCAGATAAAAAAAATTATAATATTTTTTAGTAGTAGATTTAGAGAGAGAGAAAAGTATACAGTATTAGAAATACCTACTTATATATATATATATATTTTGTGTTATAAAGTACGTAAAACTTATTGGCTTGATTGTAAAATTCTTGATAACCTTTTATTTTAGATTTTATTCTCAAATTATTAAATAGTGCCCCGAATGACAAGATAGCGGTGAAAATGTAGAAAACTCTTTCCTTGAATTTTAGTTGTAACATTTACGATATAAAGACCTAGTCGCCTCTCCGTAAAAGTCTTATATTCTCTAGTAATAATGAGAAGAAAAGAGTAATGGTATAAGTAAGTTCAGAGAAATATAACGAGTAAGAAAAATCAATTTAAATTATGATAGAAGAGAAGAAGGAGAGAAGACTGAATAAAAGACAAAAGTTTGTGTTAAGAAGCAAAAAGTTAGAGTATTTTGAAAAATTACTGAATGAGGAGAATCCAAGATATGTTTTAGAAGATATTTTAAGGAACAAAGGATTAATAGATTTAATTAGTGAGGAAGTGGTATAGAAGATACTGTGATATCGATGAAAAAGAAAAAAACAGTAGAACAGTAATGAAATTTCAGTGGAATTGTTAAAAATGTTAGGCGATCTAAGCATAAGATGGTTGAAAGATTTTTTTAATATTTTTAATAGAAGATAAGAAACAAAAGAGGGGAAGAAAAGTTTCGTGGTACCCCTTTTATATTTTCTATAGTAATAGATGAGATTACTAATGAAATATAAGGAGAAGTACCGTGGTACATATTGTTTGCTAATGATATAGAGTTGATAGGAGAAAATAGGGAAGAACTTAACCAAAAGCTTGATATGTGGAGATTTTGGAGGTAAGGAATTAAGGATTAGTAGAAGTAAGGCGGAATATATAGATTATGTGTTTAACGATATAGAACAAGAGAGCGATGAAACGAGAAATAGGCGAGGTTGAAAGTTTTAAATATTTAGAATTATTTGTACAAAATAAAACGGTGGTATTGACGAGAATGTGAGACATAAGATTAAGTGCGGGTGAATGTGGCTTAAAAGTAAATTCTATAAAACTATAGTGTTATCAATTATGTTATATAAGGTCATTATGTCGGAGGTTGATAAAAACGTAGAGGGAAAAAATAGGATAAGAAATGAATATGTAAGAAGAAGTATAGGACTAGTGTTAATCGTACATAAGAAGAAAGAAAATAGACTTAAATGATTTGATCATAATATAAGGATAGAAGAATCGGAAGCCATAACCGTAAGAAAGGTTATGGAAATTATCATTAAAAGAAGAAGAAGAGGTCAAAGAGAGACCAAAAAAGAGGTGGTTGGATGTAAATAGGCTGATATAAGGACTGTTGGTGTATGTATAAATGATGTGGAACATCGGGTCAAATGAAGATTTAAGTTACGGGTTGTCGATCCCTGTAGTTGAGATGAAGGTGAGGTAGAAGAAAACTAATTTATCAAGTCTACGACAATTTCGCGTAGGAAAAATGTGTGCTGAATAGGGTTTAAAATAAACTATAAGTTAAAATTAATAGAAATTATATAAAGTAAAAATAAAAATTGGTGAAAATTAAAACACAATAATAAAATTTGTTAAATAATTCAGTCAATATTGTAAAAAGTTAAAATAAAAAATTATACAAATTCAATGAGCAAGCTGTAAGTTTTAAAGTTAACAAAAATTAAAATTTTGGTTTAACAATTTATTCTTACATCTCTAGAAAACCTAACATATTAGGCTTTTGTTTTTATTTTTCAACAACAAACTTTTAACATCACTGTTGATTTGTATTAGTGACTGTTTTTAAATTTTATTTACGACCTTTCAATTTTATTTGCAATTTTCTTTTTTTTATCGCCTTTGTCAAAGCAAAAAAAGCCGAAACAATTTAATTTTTAAGTGGTGCATCTATCGAAAATATTGAAATTACGAAAAGTCGTACTGACATTATATCCAACACAAAATTATTTAGGACATGTAAACAATATAGAAACCGTTAAAGTAATGATCAGTAAAAACTTGATATTTCTAAAGTTCAACTCAAAAAAATTTAAAGAGATGGCAAAATGCTTCAATCTGTGCTGGGAATAGTTTCTACACAATAAGTGTTTTATTGTACAAGTTAAATGAGATAAATAATACTTTTTCAATATTAGATGTCAACAACTGTGATTACTGAACTGTCAACTATGAATTTCCTAAAGACACCAACTAGCGGATATAATACTGACGCGTTAACCCGGTTACTAAGTAGATTGCTGGAGACTCGCGACTTTTTGTTGTTTTTAGTGCCTCTCACATCTGCACTTATAAGTTATTAAATTTTTTAGTTTTATAGCAATGTATATATATAAAACAAAACGATAAAATATTTTGTTTCAAACTTAAATCACATTGCATACTCTTTAGGTCAATATCTTTTAAAAAGTATCAAGATTTTCAGGACTTTGTCATAAATGAAAAAACTTTTTGATATGATTTATGAAACTTTTTGAAAAAAATAAAATAAAATTAGTGACAATGTTATTTATTGTCAAATTTTAAACTAAAATGATAAAAAAATTTTAAAAGACATCTCAGGATTATTTTGAGCGACTTTCTGGGACTATTTTATGATAACTTTTGTTTTACCTTAAAAGGTATAAATTACACAAGTAGGTGTATTGAAATAATTAAAAATGAGGTATCGACCAATTTTAGTCAAGAGTTCTATGTATACCACACCAATTTCAATTCTATATTAATTAATGAGCTTACAGGATGTAAGTAGATAGAATCATAGTTTGCTGATAACCGCTCTAATTGTTCTTCATTCAAGTTTTCAGTTTGTTTCAACAAGTCAACATGTTCAGCCGAATGTTTTGACAGTATTTCTTCACGTTTTGCCTCTCGCGTGTTTATTTTAATGCATCGATCAAGTAACCCTAATGACTTACACCTGTACCAAAGAAATAAAAAATTTTATATACAGATATGGTCAGCTGAGATGTATAACCAAAGTGAATTCATGAAGAAGAGGTTTACCAAAAGTTTTTTATACAAAAAATTAAAATTCTTATCTCTCTGCGAGCAACTAGCTTTTTGAAATTTAGACTCACCGGAGTTATACTTTCATATTTTTTTTTTCATTTATTTACAATACATTGTGGCGCAACCTATCGTTTAAAAGTTGACTGCTAAGATACTATTATAACGTATGTATAAAATGTCCTATTTTATATATAAAATAGGACATGTTAGCATCCAGTACTTTTGATTTTTGGTATTTCTCTTAAACTTTATCGAGAATTAAATAATAAATAAAAAAAACGATTTTAAGTTTATAAAAGTTCAGAAGAAATTAAATGGTTAATGTTATATTAACTACTATGGATACTAAGGGATAGCGGGAAAATTGATTTTCTTGGATTTTAAAAAATATAGTTATGTCTGGAAACTTTCTATGAAAATGTTTTTAAACATATTTACGAAACTATGAAAAACATTATAATATTATTTAGGAAAACAATTGAAATGAATTTAAAAATTCATATTAAATGTAAAAATTTTAATTTGTTAGCTTCGATGTGAAGCTGAAAAGGTATAAATATTACCAATATGTGTTTATTTATTTATTTTTTTTTTGGGGGTCTGACACTACTTTTCTCAGCTCTCAATGATGCGATTTGTTTCAACGATAAGTCAAATAATCACAAATTATATCTAGTTGAAGACATTGCCCTTAAAAATTGAAAAAAAAAAATTCCCTCATTCCATGTAAATGGGAGAAATCCCCCAAAAATAACGATTTTTAAAATCCACGAATTTTGATACATTTTTTCTGAAAACTGCCATAATTTTTTGAAAAATTATCGAATTAAAATAATTTTTTTTTATATTGAAGTCATAGATATTTTTATTTTATTTTATATAAATATTTCAAAAATCTGACTCTTTACCTGGCCTTATGGGGGACTTAAAATAATAACTTTTGCACAAAAATTTATCACATTCAATTTAAGTTTTAAAAAGTTCCGGAAATACTTTGAGTTTCAAACATATGTAAAAATAAAGCTTATGTTATGTACAATAAGTTCAAAAAAATAAATTTGTCCCGACGACTTATTATCTATGTGCCTTAGTTAAAAAACTTGCCATTTTTGTGTTAAAATTTTCGATTTCATACTTTATTTTTTCAACTTAAAATTGCTATAACTTGTGAAAAATTTATGGATTTATACAATTTAATTTTTCCATAAATACTTTATATATACTTCTTTCATTCAAAAACTTTTTTTTATATCGGACCATTTTCCTTTATACAGGGATGGGTAAAAACTTTAAAAATTCAAGTAAAAAGTAGAACTTCCTGAAAATGTTCCGGAAATACTCAGTTTTAAATATATGTCAAATTAAAGCTTTTGTTAGGTACTTTAAGTTAAAAAATTTTTAATTTGTCCCAACGACCTATTGATTCTATGTGCAAATGGCTGCCGTAGTTAATAAACATGTTATGTTTCTGTTCAATTTTTTTTTATATATCTTACAAGGGTTTGCTTTAATAAGTAGTCCAACAATTTTTATAAAATTTACATGAGCCCAATTTGCATTAAATATAAATTTAAACTTATTTAGCCTTCAAAATTAAGAAAAAAAAGGTGGTAATTAATTCAAGTTCGTTTGAATTTTATCTTATTTAGATTGATAACTTCAATGAATATCAAGGACGTCACCACTGTAGTCTCCCTTGTGAAAAGGAATTTCTTATTCATATTAAAATACTTAACTATATGTTTTTTTTATCTTTCATTTATTTTTCTCAGCACTCACTTAACTAACTTTTTTAAAAAATTCGTCAAATTATCACAACTATTGTCTAATAAAAGATATTATCTTCCTTGCTTTTGGAATAATTCATTAATTTCTGAAAATTAAACACAATCTACAGATTTGCATCGAAGCGTTTTTTATAATAGTGATTTTCATCACTGTCAGATATCATCTATACTTGTGCTAGCCATAGAGTACTCTATGGTGCTAGCCATGCCACGATCTTACTGTGCTACCATTTTTTAAATTGCACTTATACCTTTTTCTTTTAGAAAAATGACATATATTGTTCTTTACGGTATTTGGTTTAAACTTGTGTACGAATAAATAAATATATATATTTTTTTAATAATAGCTAAAAAAAGTTATGAATAAAAAGTACTGAAAATGTTAGTTCTTATTCAATTTGAAAGGAGTACTAGGAGGAATTTTTGAATAAAAAAAAAATGGGGTATGATCTATTTACCATTCCCTTAGGATTTTATTAAAAGAAAAAGTTTTATGTTGTCGTTTCGAACTCATTGCAGAGTTCATTTCAGGGTGATAGTTACGGGTCTGAGATTGTAACTATATTGTTATAAATAATGGTAATTTCAAAAGTTGATAAATGTATAATTAATGGAATTATGTATATATTTATAATCTTATTTATTGTAGAATTTTCAAAAACACGAGTCTTATGAATATTTAAGATTAGTATTATCTTTAAATACACCATTTTTAGAAAATATACAACATTGCAGATGGAGACATATCATTTCCTCCAATGGGCGCCATTTATTTATTGAAAAAGTAAATTTTAAAATATTACCCGTTTGAAATAATAAAGAGCACATATACGTTAATTATCTAATATTGTTATATTAATATTGTTCTATTAACTCTGAATCTATTTACCGTTAATTTCTATTCACTAAATTTTACGGCATGTAAACATAATTGGAAAAAATATAATGTTTTTGTCATGCGTCTTTTTGCGGGTGACTAGAGATAACATAAAATTAGAAAATATTCATGTATTTTAAATTTCTCATAGCTTATCTATACAAAGTGTTCAGTAAGTCAGGAAACCCGTTTCCTGACTTACTGAACACTCTGTATATTCAAAAAATTAGGTGACAGATGAATTCACAACATGTCATGTTTCGGTATTAAGGTATCAGGGATCAATCCATTATACTCTGGACAATAGAAATTATTTTTCTCTTAAGCACATTATTTTTAAGAGGATATTGTGTATAAATGTTTAAAAAAATTTAATTATGAGAGTTCTATCATGCGATTACACTTACCGGTCTATGATAGATGTATAACGACTAGGATTTTCCGAATAGTTATCGTCCCATAAACATCTATGTTCTACAAATTTATCGTCGTACACTATTCCAGTCATTATGTTTGGGTAAAAATTATGAAGCTAAACTAAATGACTTATGATTTAATCAATTATTTTTGTTTAAAATGATTTTTTATTATAAACTAATAAATTTAAAAGTATTTGATTACTTTAAATATAAGTATTTTTAGTCTATAAAAATCAATATTAAATATGTTAAATGTTTAAATGATATTCACGGGCGTATGCTGAATATACTACACTCTTTACACTACAGTATTGGTATACTAATCAATTCTCGACCACAAACAACAATGATCGTTATTCGAATATGAGTCGATAGAACTGTGTGATAATTGAAAAATTATCGGTCTAAAATAGTATAACGCTTGTAATAAACCGCTTATCTGTGATAATTTTTAATAGTATTATCATCATTATTTATTTAAATAGTAACCGTATAAAGGATAACTGGTGACCCAGTTGGCGAGATGCTACATTATGCCAACTAACAAACACTCATTGTTATATTAAAACTTCTAAAAAATATTATTCTACAGTCGGGTTCCCATTACTCGTCTATTTGCCGAATATAGGACAAATACTGAATATTCGCCAACTCGTACAAGTACACAAATATTACTGTTCCGACTACTCGTCTATTTGTTAAGTTATTTTGTATTGAGTTAAGTGTTGACAATAAGTGGAGAATATTGTAGTGTATATTGTGATTGTGTTTTTTAACTTAAATACTTTTTTTAATTATTATAGTGTATTTATTTATTTATAAAGATACATGGATAAACGAAAAAAAATAGCAGCTCTCGAAGCATTTTTATTATTAAATAAAACGTATATAGAATTACTTAAAATTAAAGAAAAACAAGAAGAAAATATTCGTTTATATTTATTGATTATTTGGCCTTTCCAGTAATAACATTGTTACGACTTTTACATGGTCGTGTTAGTTTAATTTTACTTGATAACAATTGATCAAACTTGTAAGTTAAATAAAATGTGGATCTCAAAATATTGTTTTTAGCTTATAAATAATGATGGTTAAATTATCAAATCATAAAAAATTGTTACTTTTATTCACAGTATATTATTAAATCATTAATTGAAATAAATGCAGAGCATAAATATTGTGTTAATCAACTTATAAAATACAAAACGATTTTAGCATTTGTAATTTAAAAAATTAATGTAATTAAATTAAATTAAGGAAATTTAAAACAACAAATTTTAGACTAGTGCTTTGTAAGATATTCTAATTTAAAAATAGCAGCATCTGCGCTTCTCCATCAGTATTATATTTTAAAGTTCTAATAACTTCAAAAGTATTGGTCCAAAAGTTATTATTCACAGTCATTTTCTTAATTATAAACTTGTTTAATAAGTACGTTGCCCTTTAAACAAATAAAGTTGACACCCGTGTATAATTATTGTTATAATTATAATTATATTATCAACATTAGTAATGCTGAAAAACTACTCAAAGATAAACCGTATGAATTTTGGAAATATGTTAATAGCAAACGGTCATCTTGTAATATACCTAAAATTTTGTCCTACAACGACGTGTGCTCTTCCGATGAGCTTACGTCTGCAAATCTATTTTCTGACTTATTTTCTTCGGTTTACAGTGCTAAGAAAAATAATGTCTTAATTGACCAACTAGATATTCCCACCTTTGACCTTCCTAACAACGTATACTTCAGTGTTGATGATGTTTACCATAAATTATCAAACTTACGAGGTGTTGGTTCTGTGGGTCCAGATGGCTTATCTGGTACATTTTTATATGAACTAAGGGAATTATTGGCATATCCTCTATGGATCTTATTTAGGCGTTCCTTAGACAAAGGATCATTCCCATCTATGCTAAAACTTAGTTCCATTACATCGGTATTCAAGACGGGCACCCCTAGTCTTATTTCAAATTACCGCCCTATAAAATATTTGAATTGCTTATACTTAATGGAATTCAAAGACCTGTTAATAACATTTTAATGGAAGAACAGCATGGCTTTCGCTCTGGTTGCTCATCTTACACCTGTAATCTTGTGTTCACCAACTATATTTTTAATGCTTTCCAAAATCAATTACAAGTAGATGTTATATACAATGATTTCAGTAAAGCATTTGACTCTGTGGATCATACGACCCTTATTACTGTTCTTAGACAATATGGTTTTGGTGAACCACTACTTTCTTGGATTAGTTCCTATATTTGTGACCGATACCAATGGGTAAAAGTATTCGGCGTTAAGTCTAGTGTATTTTTAGCGTCTTCTGGTGTCCCCTAGGGAGGTCACTTGTCCCCTATTCTATTTTCCTTATTCTTAAACTGTGTGCATAAAGTTTTACACCATTGTCATTTTCTTTGTTTTGCCGACGACGTCAAACTATTTATGCGTGTAAGCTCGACTGATGACTGTTTGAAATTACAGGATGACCCCAATAGATTTTCTAAATGGTTAAACTCAATGGGATTGTCACTTAATTTAACCAAATGCAAGGTCTTTACGTATCATAGAACAAAACATCCTATTGTGTTTCACTATAGTATTACTGCAGTAAATATCTCGCGTGAGTTAAACTCTATTACAGATCTAGGCTTTAAGTTTAGTTATAATCTTGATCCTATGCTTCATATTGATTATGTTTGCTGTAAAGCTTTTAAAGCGTTAGGTTTAATTATGCGTTTGGCCAAAGATTTCAAGCAAGGACTTTCACTTAAAGTGCTTTTGTGTTCTATAGTCAGACCTATTCTAGAATATGGTAGTGTAGTGTGGGATCCTTATACTGCCTTGGGCTCGCTACAGCTTGAGCGAGTTCAGCAAAAGTTCCTACGCTTTGTCAGTTACTCGCTCAACATAGTCTGTCCAAACCACGATTATGCCCCTGTCTCGTATTTGCTTGGCCTATCCTCATTAGCTGCGCGTAGGCGCAATGCTGGAATTAATTTCCTAATTGGTTTATTGAATGGTAATATTGATTCGCCGAGCCTGTTGTCCCTCATATGTTTCAGAGTACCTCAGCGCGCAACAAGAAATAATGCTCCATTTGTTGTCCCTCACTGCCTAACTAATTATGCAAAAAATGAGCCACTTAGGCGTCTTATGACTAATGCCAATGTTGACCCTAACTTTTCATTTTAATTTTTGTATGTTTCTTTATGTTTTATAATTAAATTCATTTTCATTTTTTATTTTTATCTTTACGTTTAATAATTAATTTGCATATTTTTAGTATATATCTTTCTATGTTACAATAACCTAATTTATGTACTTGTATTATTTGTAAAAAGGGCTTCTGCCCGTGAAATTATAAAATAATGTATAAAGAATGGTGCTAAAAATTATTTTATAACAAGTATATAGAAATACATTTGTAACTAACAAAATTAAAAAAATAATATTTTAATCAGTATTTTATAAATATATTATATTTATAAAATACTTATTATTTTAAAGGTATTTGATTGACTAGCGGTAAAAAAATCATACTGTATAATAATATAATAAAATCGAAAATTTATTTAATTAACTAATTAAAACAGATAATTAAATTAACTAAAACAATTGATATCAATAAATTAAGTATTGATTTTGATCGAATATTCGTCAAAATAAAAAACATAGCCGATGAGTAGACCATTACCACCTATCACGTATTTGGACAAATATTTATAATCCCTTTGATTCGTATCACAAATACCGACAACCGTCAGAAAGTTGACGAATAACGAATGTCGAACACTCGTACAAGTATACCATTCCCACTGCTTGATAAATATAGACAAATAGCGAATGTTCGGAAAATACACGAGTAGTGGGAACCCGGCTTAAAAATATTATTATTATATTATGCCTATTAGAAATTGTTGTTAAAAATCATTAAAATTTAATATAATTTAGATTTAGATTTAGAGAATGATCAATATTTTTAAAAGAGATTAGTTTCATCAATCATGGCGTGTATAAAAAAGCGCAATTACAAGGTGATTCTCATAATGCTAACTACTCTTTTAAAATAATAATTTATTAAAATCTTTTTTGTTTGAATTTTATTGGTCATATATATGCATCTGCACAGTTGAAGGGGACGCAAAAAATGTTCATGAATAAGTATCTTATTAGTTTTATCGTATCGATAAAACTACTTTTTTTTTGCTCATAACTTTTGTTAACATTTAAACACATAATTTAGATTTTTTTTCAAAAAAATCTGTTATTAATTTCGATTTACTATGATGTGTTGCTTTTATTTATTCATTTTTTTAATGACCAAATAAGTAAAATGATTTTTGTTTATAGATACATCATCTATTTACCTACAATTTTGTATATTTTTTTTTATAAATCTGACCCATTACCTGCCTATAAAGAGGGATTCAAAATGACAACTTTTAAAAAAAATTAACTTTTTTAACTTAATTTTTGAAAGTTTGAAATACTGACACTTTTATATATATCTTAAATTAAAACTAATGTTATATATTTTTTTATTATGGAAAAAAAAATTGGACTTTATTTACTTTTCATGGTGAAAATTGACATCCATAATAATAAAAAAAGAAAGGTGTTTGTAAAAATTTTTTTTTATATTTTTACTTTATAATGATTTTTGCAAAATGTATGGATCATCATAATTTTATTATGATAAGTGCTATTTATATATCTCTTACATTTGACATACTTTTTTTTAAATTGGATCATTTCTCTTTTATATTCATATATTACACTTATAATCAGGATATAAATAAGGAAATAGGAGATTATGTAGCGTTAGAATAAATTGTCAATTTTTACAGATCTATAATATCTACAGATTTTTATCTGTAGATGTTAGAAGCGTTTATTATGATAGTGATTTTAATCACTGTGAGATATTATCTGTACTTATGCTAGCTATGCCATAACTCCACTGTGTTAGGTTTTTATTTTAATAATATTGCTGATTCGTTGACTTACTAAAGTAAAACTTAGTGTAAAAAATGTATAAGTAAAATATTTGAAAAATTCTCTTAAATTAATTGTAATTCATATTACCATGAAGAATAATAAACAAATATTTTTTTACTAGATGGTTATTATACTAAAATTAAATTATATTAATTGAATATTTTCTTATTTAAAAAGCTTGTTTTGGTAAATTTTAGATTAGTATTGCATTATTTAAAACCTTGATCAAACTCCATGTTTATTGTAAAATAAATAATTAAATAAATCAAAATTTTTTTTTACTTGGTTGTTATTTTAGGACACTTTTTTTTTGGCTCCTTAAAAAAGTGATGTTGGTCAAA